GGGGGTTAAGGCATCTGGGAAGGATCTCCAAACTGAACAATACATGGTAGACAGTAGACTCAGGCATGTAGGATTATTCCTACTCTCATTGCCAAAACTTGAGAGAACATTTTTAAACAGATCAAGAATGACTGTACTTTCTAATGAAGCTCATATCCTTATGGAGATCTTCTTCTGTGGTAGTGAGCACCATCTAGTTTGCAGCGTCAGTGCCAGAAATGCCAGCAGGATGAACAAACTACTCTGCGAGGCCGGAAGCATCATTGGTCAGAATTTGTTTGAGTCAGTGAGGGCCAGGAGGTCACTAAACCTCCCCTCTCCATCACAGACAGCCCATCACACCCACTCCACACCTCTGAGGCAGCAGTGATTCAGCCTCGCTGCCATAAAGAGCACTTTAGAAAACCTCTCTCTATAAAGCTGTATAATAACTTCATTCTGTGACAGGTTTACACGCCTGTCAGGCAAAAGATGCCAAACATTGTTTATTATAGCTTCATGCAGCCATTTATCTTACATCTATAGTGTACAGATTATTTATTAAAGCAATTTGCACTTCTCTGATACACAACGTCAGTCTTACTTTCATTGTTTTTAACTAAATTCATTTTAATTTTCTTTGGGGTTTGTTTTTTTTTATCACTGCTGTATATATATAAATTCCTGCTCTATCTCATAGTATAATCTCCTCACCAGTCACCTGTTGTTTTAAATGTGTAGTTTATTGTTGTTCATTGTGCAAGTTCAAACCATGCAAAAAAGTATAAATAATAATATAAAGTGCATTCACTTTTTCTGAGCTAATTACAGATGAACTGAGGTGAAGTGGAAAACTCCAGTTAACTGACCAGTCAAATGCCCAGTTTGCCTCCTGCCTTTATTCCCAGCTGGTTGTGATAGATGGCTGCAGTAGCTCAGTCACCTCTTTAAGAGCCTCTGTGACAGGGTTAGTAGAGTTTTGTCATGGTGTGTTGTTATATATGTAACTGGTTTAAGTATGTGTGCTGTTCATAGGAATTTTGTATATATGTATATTTGTATATACTGAAATGTGTATTTATTGTGTCATGTAGTTTTTCACATGGTTTGATAACCCCAGATGTAGGCTATTCCAGAAACTCACCTGAGGTAGTCTCCAAAAGTTGATTCTGTTCATCTGGACGTAGCGTTTTGTGGGAGAAACATTTTGTCACTCATCCAGGTGACTTCTTCA